AGAATTCTATGTTATAAGTGAACAGATGTTTTTTCGCCTAGCTCAGTTAATTTTCGTCTGATAAATAGGACTCTGAATACCACACATTTTGCCAAGAAATGGAAATACCATTAGACTTAACTTAAACCAGTATCCAAACTTCGTAGTGTTAATATAGTTGAGTCGCTCAGGAACATGTGGTTTAGTCATACATGATAAACAGTCAATATCATAAAATAAAAAGCTTTGTTGATTTTATTCGTAACCATTATAATTGTCATGAGGTAGAAGATAATGTCTTTTCAATATAGCAAACATTGAGATTAATGTGACCGAATGAGCTATTATTCAGCCCTAATGTTGATTTTATGTGACAATATAGTCATCTTATTTTAAATATGTGCAGTTTTGTCAGTTATATATTTTAGACAATTTTCATTAGCACAGTATGAAGTAAAAATTTTCTTTCATTTTCTTGATAAGATTGAAATTGTTCGTTCTTGTCTATTACTTCATTTTATATTCACATGATTTGAATTTGCTGGTTTTAACATATAACCCTATAATATAATTTTTTGAATCGTCTAATACATATCATTCTTCAACCTTACTAATGACGTATTTTATGAGTATTTGAAACATAAAAGTGGAAGAGTGTATTTGTAAAATCTCAGCGAAAGAATTTGAAGTAAATCCAACGTTTCGCCTGGCAATCTGGTCCAAGGTCTTTCAAGGAAAATATAATCAAACAACAAAATTATCGAATATAAATAAGTACATGGTTCTCTGGTTTACTAAATACTGAATAAGTCATCCAATCAACGTTAACAATGTTAAAAGTATGCATTTAGATTAGTATGTAAGAGGTATGTGGTGTGAATTTACTTCAAATTCTTTCGCTGAGATTTTACAAATATATATTCTTCCTCTTTAATGATTCACATTAACTCGGCGCCCAAATGTTCTGAAACTATTCGTTCTAATCTAGACGAAAGTTCTTATTTATTTGAAACATAATCTGCTTATAATTCACTAGTCTTAATTCATAACATCGACTAATTCAACCATATACCCTTGTAATACTGTCTACTATAATCTAATACATATGGATTTATTATGTTAGTGCCTAAAAACAAAATTATTGGGAATCGTAAATATAAACACGTTTTCTTCTTCTTTGGATATTGCATAGAAGGATTTAGAATACTATCCTTATTTATAACTGATAATACAGTTAAAAAGAAAAACACTTTCAAACTCCAACCAAATTAACTAGTTTTTGTTTATATCAAGAAAGACATTTCCAGTCGAATTTAAACTACACATTTCGTTACTGTACAGATATTCTCATTACGGAAAGAAAATATAAAAAAAATAAATAAACACACAACACATTTCTTTTTGCCAGAATCAAAATGAAAGTGAAAATATATTTTCAATAAATTATCCGTTAGACTAACATTACACTTTTATTTCCAAATGACTTTGATCTTAGATACACGAGAGAAAAAAAATCAAGAAGAAATTGCCAGAAAACAAGCGGTTTAAATGTCGTTTTATTTCAAGCCGATAAAAAAATGTTTGTTAACGAGTTTTTTTTAAAAAAAGAGAAAAAAGAGAAGAAAAAAGGAATTCATCTTTACTTTAAAACTTTAACTTGTGTAATTTTACTGTCAAATATCCAGTCGGTCTGGCAAATCATTTAGATAAAGTCAATTGTTCAAAGTATTGTAATAAGATTGTTTCAAATGAAGAATATAAATATTTATTCAAAATTGTTCCTTTACTTACTTATGCCTGTTTCTCCTCGTGAAGAGCATAGGCCTCTCACCAGCATTCTCCATACAACCCTGTCCCAAGCAATCCTTTCCAGCTCCCTCCATTTGTTATTCATCTTTTTCATATCTGCTTCTATTTCCCGACGTAATGTGTTCTTTGGCCTACCACTTTCCTGCTTCCCTTCAGGATTACAAGTTAGGGCTTGTCTCGTGATGCAGTTTGACGATTCGTGTAGTGTATGTCCTATCCATCTCCGTCATCTTTCCCTAATTTCCTCTTCAGTTGGAAGCTGGTTTGTTCTCTCCCATAGAAGGCTTCTGCTGATCGTGTTCGGCCAATGGATGTTGAGTATCTTGAGTAGACAGTTAGTTATGAATACTCGCACCTTCTTGATGGTGATTGTAGTAGTTCTCCAAGTTTCAGCTCCGTACAGTAGAACTGCCTTGACATTCGTATTGAAGATTCTCACTTTGATATTATTCCATGGTCAAACTTCAAATTAGCTAAGTGTATCTCAATGAAGTAGTCGGGTATAGAAATTTAGAAAAAAGATTAACTACAGTCTTAGATTCTAATTTGTTGATCTGAAAATACATTGGTTGTTGAGAAACCAGAAGTTTTTTTGAATTGGGTTTTATGTAGAGTTATGACTGCTTATAACTGAGAAATCTCAGACGTTTTTCTATAGTTCCTTAGTTAATGTCAAGAAATGTATGACTCGGAAATAACTAGTTTCTTTTAAAAAAATAGGCCTTTTTTATCTAGAAGAATACAAATTTTCATAAAAAATTCCCAGAACTGATACAATCATACACATAGGCAGTTAAATACTAATATAATAATGATGTTCGCTGAAAATCATCCTATATCATGGATCATCAAGAAACCAAAGTGAAACTTGAAGGTCTTATATTGTTGTTTTAAAAGTATCTTACTAACTGTAAGACATAAAAGCAGTGAGTTGAGTTATTCGTAGAAAGACCTAAGTTTCAAGCAGGTTCGATAAAAGTTTTATTTATTTAAACACATAAACGTTGTACAGCTGGTCACTAAACACATATGCGCCGCATAAATCATACGAGTTGTGTGAGAGCCGGGATACTCTCCAGGTGCCCGAACCGGAACAGATGGTTTTCTTAGGAGGCCATACCTGAAGCCTTTGACCTAAATGGAGCAACGTAAGGAGATTCACTCCCATGGTAGCCAGTGATCAACGAGTGATTCATACGATAATTGTCCCCTCAGGATCCTGAAGTCCGTGTGCACTACTGGTTTGCAATCAGAGTTTAAAAACTCCCCTGGGTGGATCCTCCATATCTACCAACCCGCCTAAACAGACGGATATTCGCTTTTTGTCCTCTCGATTACATAAAAAACAGTAATGTCACGAGAAGGCAGTGAGTAAGAATTCCCTGGCAGTGGCTGCATGCACGTGGCCATGTGAGAGCATTTGGACCTAACGGTTTTGCGCGCAAACGCGAATTGACCCATTGTTATTTTTCTTTATAAAAATTGATTTCGGTCATTTAATTTGAAGTATTGATGGTTTAGGTGTAAAAAGTCATACATTAAACAATGAAATTTTTAAATTAAACAGACTCAGATTAAAATAGTTATGTTGAATTCAATGTTTGACAGAACAACAATTAAAAATACATAAAATAACTGGAGATGCTGCATTATTTAAATTTGTTTTCCAAATAGAACTGACTATTCATCAATATAATAGTAAAAATAATCATAATTTTTAAAATATAAAGAATTAAAGTTTATTGAATGATTAATAGATAAATAAGTGTTGTTCAACTCTTTCCAAACACTTTCATGTAGTCAAGACACTAGTTTAGATTTCGCTAAAGTTTTTTCATGAATTGTTTGAAGTTAGAAGTAAACAGCGTTGGATGCTGGCTCAGTGGTCTAGAGGTTAAGCGTTCACGTGTGAGATCGAAGGTCCTGAGTTTGGATCCCGCGAATAGGATTGTGGATGCGCACTGCCGATAAGTCACATACAAGGACAAAACGGCAGTCTAGTCCTCGCAGGTTTTCCATAGTGGTCTATCTTTATTTGACCTATGAGTTCAACTATCAAAGTTTTTATATGACATAATGAATAGAAGCGCTCTAAACGAACGTTATTTTAAGGTTCGGTTAAAAAAAACACTGGTCACAAAGTTTATAGAATCAAAGACGTCATCGAAATAAATAGAAACAGAGATTATAAGTAAATATGAGTAGTAGCTAGAGTAAAATCCAGGAAGCGCGTTTCGTCCTATTCAGGACGTCTTAGCTAGATGTACCTGCATCCTAGAGTTAATGTTCATTCCGAAACTCAAACCCAGTACCATTTGTTTCAAACGCCATCGCGTCGTCCACTTGCTTACTGAGCACAGATAACCTCGAGCTTATGTAATAGGGTGACATTTTGACGCACTTTTGTATTGTTTGTTTAAATTTTCTCCTTGATATTTAGGACTGCAATTGATCAGTCTCTATCTGACGTATGTACATCCTGCGCGGATTACCTCGATATTGTCTTACGTCACTAGCAATATAAGCAAAGACGAATAGTTGCTAGCAGTGGAATCCTGAACATCAAAGGGAAGATTTAATCAAACAGTAGAAGAATTAAAAAGGAGATTATTTTAACAACCTAACTGTTTTAGAACATGTATTTAAAAGCAATAGTATTCAATATATTAATAACTTTTCTGATCTAAAATAACTTTAATAGGATTATCAGTGTTGGGTTTTTGAGATTATTAAGTTTTTAATTGAGATCATGAACCGATTGATGTTAGGCCGCCATTAAAAATCTAGAGGCACTTGAAGGCCAATTCGTCCTATTTTGGGACTCCTCAGCAGTACGCATTCACAATCCCGTTCACGGAATTCGAACCCATTTCGATCTGAAAATTTAAATATATAACCAACTTAGTAAGCATTCGTTAGACTGAATTTACACATAATTCAATATTTCATCATTGACTCACACATTACTTTTTGTAAAAATATAATCATTTAACATTCAAATTTACGTTTTTAATCTTCCATACCATTATTCAGTTTCATTTAATCAACTATGAAACTTTATTTTTGATTCATAATTCTTATTTCCTTTTTTTACATTTCTGTTACAGATTTTATGTCCTTCAATAATGATCCAATTATTCATAAACATACTATAAACTCTTTAATTTAACACTAAATTAACACTAAAAAGAATAGATAAACAAATGAAATTAGTAATGTTTATTTGTTATATGAATTCTAGTATTGCACAGCAATATCAATAACATTAGTAATAGTACTAATAATAGTAATAATAATAGTAGTAATAATAGCAATTATAATTATAATTATAATCGTAATAATATTTACTATAATGATACCCTCTGGATTAATGTGCGTAATGTTTATCAGAATATTTTGTTCTATTTCATTTTCTTTAATTGATAAGTTCATAGTGAATAAATCTTATGTATATATATAATTAGTTGCTATGATCCATCCATTATAATGCATGGAATATCTTGTCTAATTCAATAAAGTTAATCATAAGTGAATGAAGGTAGGGGAAAATAGAGTAAGATTTTTAAAAAAAATTAACAAAAGAAATAGAAGCAGAAATAAAACTGAAAAATAACTCAAAATATATAGAACTAGCCTATTCACATGAACATGAGTTTTGAATTGATTACATCATCATCATCATCATCATCATCATCATCATCATCATCATCATCATCATCATCATCATCATCATCATCATCATCATCATCATCATCATCATCATCATCATCATCATCATCATCATCATCATCATCATCATCATCATCATCATCATCATCATCATCGTCATCAACAATGTTACAAAAAATAATCAAATCATTAGCATAATTGTCGTTGTTGTAGTAAGTATATTTTTATTTATATGCCTTATTTCTGTTATCATTTATACATTTAAGGATAAGGAGAAGAAAAAAAAATACAAGAATCACATTATTGAACATTGATTATTTCTTAATGCATTTTGTACTGCTCTAGCTGCAGTAGGTTTATGTGCCTGTTCTCTATTCTCTAAAATACGCATTAACTCTCTGAAAACATTCATGACATGCCAATTGTATTTAGCAGAACATTCAACAAGTATAGTACGTTTCCATTGTTTTTTAATAATCATATTTATATCACGACGTATATTAAATCGATAATTAGGATTATTTAAATGAACCATTTGTAATTGTCCTTGTATTGGCATAGTGATTGCTGAAGATGATGTAGAAGATGTTGAATAAAATGATGGTATAATATTATTTGAATTAAATCCATTTGTAATTTGTTGTAATAAATCAATTTTATTTGCAACTAATAATAATGGTATATCATTAAATACACTAACAATTTGATCACGTAAATGACGTATATGTTGAAATGATGATTCTGAATTAACATCAAAAACTAAAATAAATGCTGAAGCATTTCTTAAACCCCAACCACGATAATTCTCCCATTCCTCAATAGAATTAGTTGGAAATTTTTTATCAATTGGTGGACAATCTATTAAACGTACATAATAAATACGATCATTGAATGATATCATTGGATCGTAATATTCTGGATGTTTACAAGTAGGAAGAGGATTTCCAGGATCAATACAATGAATAAATTGTTTAATTAATGTAGTTTTACCAGACTGACGACTACCAAGTACTGGAACACGTAGTATATGATCAGAATATTCTACAGAGGATGATGGTTTCACTTCATAAATCAAGGTACTATTAGATAGATTATTGTTTGTGTTAGTAGTCTTAATAACATTACAATTAATATTACACGAAACAGTGTTAGGTCCATTGGTTGATGATTTCAATGTTGGAATAGGTGAATAAGATTGTAAATCAAAAATATTTTTCAATGGTATACATTCACTGAGTTTATTTAATGAAGACGATTTTTTTGATGAAATTATTGATTTTAATGTTGTTGATGATGCTGAAGATGATGATACTGTTGGTGATGTTGATGATGTTATAAGTGATGGAAAAAATTTTATACGTGAACGTGAAAATTTCACATGATGATCATGTATACATGTTGATCTTGTTGATTTTTTCTCATTTATTTCTTCTTTATTTACAAATTTTAATAAATTTACATCATCTTGACGTAATAATTCATTTTGATTAATAAGTGATTTGATATTAATTTCATTAATATTACTAATTTTTGCTTTACAAATTGATTTACATTTATGTAATATAATAGGTGTTGTTTCTTCAATAGTATCAGCATTTGATTCTGTATTATGAATAATTGAAATCTTTTGTTTTGGATGAACTTCATTATTTTTCTTTTTTTTACTTTCTTCTAAATCTTCTTCACTCGTACTGATTTGTTCCCAACCAGCAAGCCTGGCAGCTGACCCACTACGTAAATATTTGAGTTTAAAAATTTGGTCTGTGATAATTTATACAATCGAATATTTCGGTATGTAATAATAATAATAATAAAATAAATATCTAATGGTCTTAAGTACATATATTAAATTATTATGTATAATGAATAATTTAATTCTGTATAATAATCAAAATATTTAATTATTTTAATGAAAAACATATACTACTAATGATTAGAAATGATGAGTAGTATTATGAAATTATTAAACTGTATATTAATTTAATTTTACTATAATAAATAAGATCCATTTTCATTCATCTTCATTATAATGTTCAATATTAGGCATCATTTGTTAAAAATGATAAATAATTCAGTAATGATATAATCCATTTTAAAGTTTCTTTAATGTCTTCTACAAATACTACTATTATTATAATCGTTGATGTTATATATTTAAGTTTATTATTATTATTATTATTTTGTTTACAAGGAGAATATTTATTCACGTTTTCTTTCCTGTCCTACATCAAAATAAAATTTTATTCGATAAAAAAATGAACAGAAACTTGGTTTGGTAAATGTAGAAAGCATAACAAACTAACTGACAGTGAATCTGTCAATTCATAAGCACATATATTATATATATACATATAAACAACCATAGACTTTAAAGTCCATATATATATTAGATGCTGAAAGAATACTGATAAAGACATGAGTAGTGCATACAATATATACATACACATATATTATATACATATCGATAAACATAAGATCTGTTTATCGTTTGTATTAATGTAAATCTGCGAAACTGTCTTTTAAAAGAACCAATGGAAAAAACTTTAGATTATATGCACCAGTCTATTTACTCTAAATGAAATAAGAGTTAATGTTAGGCAGACATCAAGCGAAAAAGTGTATCAGAGAGAGAGAGAGAATTATGAAAATCATCCATAAAATATCTTATTGTGTGTTTAGGTACATAGAAAGTAATTTCATAGAACTAAGTAATTAAACGAACAAGTATGTGATATTACACTTGTGACTGATAGTCAATGCTTTATTTTGTTGTTGTTAGTTCATTAAATCAAATTCTGATCATATTTCGTAATTCGTTTATTTTTCCCTACATTCTATTACTTATTAACTAAAAGCTAGAAAAAAGATGATAATCTTAAAAGTCAAAACCAAAAGAACACAAAAAAAACAAGAAAACAATATTCATGGACTTATGAATGTGCGTTATAAGATACATACCTTTGAATCAATAAAACGTATATATGATGTTATTACATAAATATTTTTTTATTGTTTAAATGGGTAATGATGGAAGATTTAAGTTATTTGACTTATTCAATTACATTTCTTTTCTTCTTTTCTTTTTTTCCCACAAATGAAAAATTCTATTCTGTTGCTATAGTGTAATTCATGCATAAAATAATCATGAACAAGATTCTTATTCTTTTATGCTTTTTTTAGAAAAATCTAAACCAATGTAGAATTAACAATTTAAATGCTTAGTTGAACTATGTCAACAACTTTACTAAACAATAAAAATGGTCAAGAATTGTATAAAATTTGTAGTTAAAACGATAGTGAAATTTAAATCCAATCAAACAACTAATCAAGGATAGGTTAACGAAGATGGGCTCCTCCATGTGTGTATACCAATTCAAATGCTCCTATGGAGCTAGTTACATAGGCCGTACTCAGAGGGATTTATCCTTCAGCGCTGGTGAACATGTGTTAGCATGTTTGAGAAAAAGAGTCACTAAATCGATTAACAGTATCATTCTTTCTCACTTGGTAAATAGTGAACATCATATCAAAATACAATAAGCGTTCTCTGTTTTATATCAAGTTTCAAAATATGTATCTCAAGCAGCTAGGTTACGGTTGCTCTGCATAGCATCTAGATCAACTCCAGAAAACTAAACTGATGTATCCAGGATAGGTATATCCAACCTCTATGTTTACCTTGGCCCACGACTGGATCACCGGATAAATAAATTGAATATTATAAACATCTTAACCCCTTCTTTTTTTTTATTACCTCTATCTTAATCTTCATATCCATCATTCCCAATTAGTTTATCGTAATTACCTTGATAACACTCCCCTTATTACATATTATATTCACACAACAATATTATTATTATCTCAAATGACAAAGTGAAATTCTCGTACTAGGCATTTTATTCACACAGTTTTTGGGCATTTTCATTTGTGATATAATACTATTCTACTTATTATGACTGGACACTTTACTCCAAATCATTCTGACCTTTATTGAATGACCTTTCTAATTTGCAAATAATGCCGTTTTGAAGTGTATATATGTCGTAACAGATGCAAACGTTCACCATTTTTAACACATAACATTGTCAAACTCATTAAAACATGCCTTATTTTGGGCCTTTGTAAACTATTATAATTATGGACTTATAACTGTAGAGCCTGATGATGAAGTTATTGAAAACAATCGTTCGTTCAAATATTCTTCGTTTTTGAATATTCTATGAGGATTTTTAAACTGCTGAAATCTAGTGAGCACCCAGTTGCACTGAAGGGACTCAATGAGTTCCTGAAGTATAGTGCGAAACTCACGTAAGCGAAAACTAATTTGGATTTTATTCGTAATTGCACCTTTACACACCGATATCCGAAAGACTATTGCAAATCCTTACGTCGATGTAAAATTAAACCTAACATTAAGTCGCTCAAGAGATATGCACTTAGCCAAATCGAATCTCTTCAAACGTATATTGTTGAATTAGAAAGGAATATTACACAGAGATTATATTCTGTTGAAGACCTTCCCCCAAACTTAAAGGATTCGTTTATGACTTATGTCCTTGAAGTGCAAAGAACGAGGGAGAACAAAAAAAGAATCGACCTAATCAAAGGACTAAACAAACAGATCTTTAAACCGGATTTTCCAGACGACTGTAAGCGGTATGTTTTCAACTTTTCCTCTGTTAATCTTGATAGGACTGAACTAGAAGTGTTATCATTAGGTCCTAAGTTTTGTGATAGTCGTAGACATGTGGATCATTTAAAGACTGATGTTCAGTTCGAGAATCTATTTACCCAGACACAAGACTTAAAACCCACGACAAAGGTCGAACATGAACGATTCAAAACCACGCTGGTTGATTGCTGTAACCAATTTAAAAGCAATAAGCACTACACAAATAGTATATTGACAGATAAACATCGTGAGACCATCCGAAAACTCAAGTTGAATGAACACATTCTTATCACTAAACCTGATAAAGGATCGGGCACGGTAATTCTAAACAAGACAGACTACATAGATAAGATGAATTCACTACTGAGTGATCAAACTAAATTCCAAAAGCTTGGGTCATGTAAAGACCTCAATGAAAAGACCGAACGTCAACTAACTGCTGCATTAAAATTCCTAAATCAACACCAACACATCTCTGAGCATACCTATAATATGCTTAAGCCTTCTGGAACACATACCCCTCGAC